GTACTGAATGCTTGTCAAACAGTTAATTAAATCAAATGGACACACTCGGGGCGAGTTTTGGAACACGAAAAAAATATTATGCTTATTAAGGGTCGGTTACTCAATGTCTGGTTAACGNGGACACACTCGGGGCGAGTTTTGGAACACGAAAAAAATATTATGCTTATTAAGGGTCGGTTACTCAATGTCTGGTTAACGCTTATCTCCGGTTAAACATTGTTATCGACGTATTCGACTCCATTCATATAACAGAGAGTCGGTAACGTCGATAACGATGTTTAACCAGAGGTTAGTGTTAACCAGACTTTGAGTAGCCGGCCCTAAGACTAAGTAATTTCTAACTTTCTCCCATATTATACGTTTATATTTTAATGTAGGATGATTAATTACTGAAGAATATATAAATTCTGATCAAACTTCACTACTGAATGCTTGACAAACAATATTCAAATCAAAACTTCAATAGTGAATGCGCTTAGGGCGAGTTTTGGTACATGGTGCAAAACATTATGCATATTAAGAGTAAATAATTTCTCACCTATTATAGGCTTATGTTTTGATATAATATGATTTATTACTGAAGAATATTTTAACTCCGATCAAACTAAAGTAATAAATGCTTGACAAACAACTATTTAAATCAATAGATCAACAGTGAACGCGCTCGGAGCGAATTTTGGAACACTTCCTAAAATATTTACAGAAGCAGCAAATGCAACTCTGGGATGTAGCTGAATATCAAATAATTAGGCAAATTTGTGCGCGCATAGTGTTTTTTCCGGAAAATTTTCGTAGTTTTCGTAAAATGTTGAGTTTTGTGAAATAATATATATGTAAATCCTATTATATATTGACTTTCTTTTTAAATAAGATTTAGACATTTTGTATTTGCAATATACGTGAGTCGTGTGCTAGCAGAGGTTTTACAAATATCGGCCTTGTGGAGATTTGGAAGTTTCTGGCCAAACAACCAACAAGTAAGTACAATATGTAAATTTATTATTGCGTTCACTTTTTTAATTATTGTGTATTTACATACATATGTACGTATTTGTAGAAAAAATGCCGAAAAGATGTGTATGCAGATGTGCAGAAGTAAGCTCCCTCTACAAGTTTCCTTTGGCCTCGGATGTATCAAGGTATGATGTTTATTTCATTTTATTTGTTTATTGAAATTAGTTAAACTGAATGCTGGATAAGCGATAGCCATCGTCTGGATTTAGCTTTGTACTTTAAAGAGATATAGGGTACTCTGGCATTTACTGGTACATTTGTTATGTTAAAATCCAGCCAGACGGACTAGTCTTGCAGTTT